GGGCGCAAGGTAACACAGATCAGAATTACTTCATTTAATCTTCAGAATGTTTCATAATGTTGCCTTTAATATTTGACGTATCTGTAAATGCCAAGTATGACTGTTTTAGAAAGTATGTCTGATGTTGTTTCTAAACTCAAACTCTAATCAAACCCAGGATGTGATTTCATGTATTTAATTGGTTGAATAAATAGATGTAGGTCAAGACAATCCCAAATGCCCTTGTTTGAGTTTTTTCTTTCAGTAATGCTGTGTTAAGAGTAAACAGCGCTGACCTAGATTTACCCATGATGAGTTTAAGTTTGGACATATGGTTGATGTCGTTTTATAATGTTTGTTTCAAGGTTACACTGCCCCTTTGTTCAGTCTGGGCTGCTTTTGGATGTCAGTCATTTTTATAAGGGATTTCAGTTGATCTTTTGATGCCTATTGGATGCACGTCTGACCTTCATGAAGTTTTAGGCCAAAGCTTTATTAGATCCATTTCTTCCTCTAGTCACAACATAATAACAGGACCTTGATTTCCCCTCAAATCCTCTGTCATCCCTGATCATTTCAGGTCACTTCCTCCCTCCAGACCTCTGTGTCTTTATATCAGAAGGGCTTTTTAGGAATGAGTTCATTGTGGGATTGTCTCCTGTTTGTCTTGTAATGGATTTGGGGTTATGTACTGTAACTCATGCTGCAGTATAGTGATGTAGGCTTTTATTATTATTTTTTAGAGGCTGAGTATTGTTGCTACTTTCATTTTTGTACCCTCTGATACTCATGTTGATGCTGGTGTTTTGTATAATGATGTAATTTTGACTGGTATTTTGAGAGTAGCGTTTTAAGTGGAATACAGCGCACACTAGTTTGATAAATTGCTTTTTTCCTCTTTTGTAGGTTGCTTTGGATAAAAGCATTCACTAAATGTGTAAATGTAAATAGTTGATCACTGAGCATAATGCACGCTTGAATGCACTTTACATAGACGTGAGTATTTGACATTGTAAATGTAGAAATCCCTTATGTGCTGACGTTTTGTTTTGCAGCCAGAGTTTATTTGCAAAAAAAACTAAACTTGTATATATGCTGCGTGGTATTGTTTTTGAGCACAGTACATGAGCATAGAAAATGTTTATAGGCCTAAGGGATGCACCGATATGATAAACGTATATGCTGTCATTTGTTTTGTATAGAATATTGAGGAAATATTGTATAAAATGATGTTGAAAATGAAATTGTGTGTATATGTGCCATTCAAAAGTTTGGGATTTTAAGGAAATTAATACTTTTATTCAACGAAGATGCGTTAAATTGATCAAAAGTGACAGTAAAGATATTTATAATGTTACAA